AGCTTCAGGGCAGGACTGAGGGACATTGGCAGAGCTGTGTGGGAAGCCCAGGACAGAAGTACAAGTGTAATATAATGATTGGGTCGTTCCATACACGGCCATTGGCTCCCAGACTCTGTTCAGTCAGAGCTGCTGTGTATGGTTAATCTCATCCCAGTGAGCTTTGGAGGATGAGAAGGTTGAGCTGACGCTACCACACCTTTTACACTCTAATGACATTGAGGAGTTGCTCTGATGCATATCTACTGAAACCAGTTGTTCATTCCCCACCACGCCTGGCAACATCCCATCTTGTTTTATCCATTACTCTCACTTTATGACCAGGAGCTGAGAGAAAAAAAATCACTGTGTGTGTTTCAGGTTCCCGGTCTCCATCCATTGGCAGTGTCACATCTCTCCTATATAATTTCTTCCCTGTATTCAGAGAGGACTTGGAAACCGCTTGTGGGACAGATTGTTCTCACCAGCCTCCATAGTCCTGTCTGAGGTGACCAGGCACTGCAATGCTGTGGTGGCTAGCTCTGGCCCAGAGGTGGCCCGGGTGATTAGATTGATGCTTCCTGACGTCAGATGAGATCCGTTAAGAGGTATTTATCTCAGGATTGGGCCAAAGCTGCAGGAGAGATTAAAAGAGATTGAGGCCAAGATAATCCCCCGCAGCAGCATCCCGCAAAAGCAGCTGCCAAAAGGCCTTCAAGCCAATGCTTTTGCCAGCCCACCCATCCCACCTCTGCACCCCTAGGGCCATGATCCCAGCCCTGCCCCCAGACACGAGGGTTTCTATCTGGGCATGGCCAGGATAGCACAAGGGGCACAGGCCTTTCTTCCCCTGCCTGTCGGGTTACGACCTGAGCCCTATCCCAATGAGGGTCTTTTTCTCAGGAGAGTGTTGGGATTCAGTGTCTGGCACAGCCCCCCCCCCCCATTTTATGATCCTAGCTCTTTCTGCCTAATCTTCATCTGATTACTTTGTTACTAACAAACAAAGGGAGTCAAATCTTTGTGCTGTGTTTTTCCCTTCAGAAGCAGCGCACACTCTCCTGTCCCTCCATCCCCTCCCATACCACCTGCTTTGCATTAAGTCCCAATCCGATTTCCCCAACTCTCTGGTGTCTGATTTAATTTGCCTGACGCTGCTCCTAGAATCAGCCCTCCCCAACCCACCTCTCCCCCCACCCCCCCCGACACACAGCCTCCCAGCTCCCAATGGGGAGATCAGTCTTGGGAGAGGCTGACACACCAAGAGTGAGAGAGGGACACAGTGTGTGGATAGCTGGCGCCAGGACGGGAAGGACTGAGGGGGATCACAGCGTGACCAGGGGCTCCCATCCTGACGGGGGACTAAATCCCCAGGGGACCAAGGGAGTGCCAACCAGGAGGGGACAGCAACCACCTCTCCCCACAGACCACGGTAAGGACATTCCTTTGCTGCTGCTTGCCTTATGCCTACCTCCCTCTCCTTGGCATTTGGGGGGTTCTGTATGCCCAAGTGGGTCCTAGATGCCTTATGTGACCTTCTCTGCAGGTCTGGGGGGGCCCTGGGTGTGGGTCTCACTTTGTACATAGATGTGTAGACCGTGGAAGGGGATATTTCTATAGGAGGAAGGTTGGGGTTAAAATCAACTTGTCTCTATTGCACATGGGATGCAGACACCCCTTCCCAGCAGGGCAAAATCACAGCAGTTTCCAGCATGTCACAGGGGTGTATAACCCCCCTTATAGGGAACTGGAAGTCAGACTCTCCAATAGGACCCCACACACTCATTGTGCTCCCCACCCAGCTCTTTGCAACAAGCTCCTATCCCATTTCAAGAAAAAGAGCGAGATCAGGGTAATTTTATCCTTGCCCTTTGATCTCCGTAGCAGAGGAAGAGGATCATCTCTCTATCCAGCTCTGAAGATGCTCAGGGTTACTGGGGCAAATACACAGCACCTGCCTAGGGATTACACAGGGACCATGACATCCCTTGTTAATTCTCAACCCTTCCGTGCCTTTCGCTTTTCTATTTAAGGCTCCCCAGCCCCAGCTGAGCTGCAGCCCCCTTTCCAAGATGGGTGAGGCCACATGGGCTGATATAAACCAAAGGGTTCAACCCCCACCCTCGCAGCCACCCCTGCCCAACGATTTTCTCCATTTCTCATTCAAACAGGATGAGGTGATGTGGGTGACACCCTAGGCGTTCTTACCCCTCGGAGTCAGCGCTGACCCCCAGTGCCCCAATGTGGTACTGGGGGGCTGTGCTGCAGGGCTGGGGGGCGCTCTCCACTCAGCCATTACAGTTGGTTTATGATATGTTTAATACGCCTGTTCCAGTGGCACCCAGATACCCAGTCAGTGGTGCTAAGTGCTGTACTAACGCATACAAAGACACAGGCCCTGGCCAGAAGAGCTTACAGGCCAGGAACATGAGTGATACATGAAGGGGGCAGGGCATGAAGATAATTGAATAGACCCATTTTTTATAAACAAAGATACATTTGCTTAGTTTATTATAAATAGATCAAATGCCTGCTGGGATTTGACTGTTTGCTTATAGCAGAGGAAGATCAGTTGGAGGCAAAGGTGCTGGAACTAGGGGTGCTGCCGCAGCCCCTGGCTTGAAGTGGTTGCCATCATGTACAGGATCTACAGTTGGTTCAAGGCTCTCAGCACCCCCACTATGCAAATTTTTCCAGCACCCCTAGCTGGAGGCTTTTCATGGCTAAGGAGCAGCCTGGGAAGAGGCACAGGAAAGTTCGTTGATTTCATTGGAGCCGCAGAGGTGAGGAGGGGAAACGTGACAAGAGCTGTTAAACCAGGAAGAGCAGAGCTGTGGAGAAGACAAGAAACTTGAGTATAATGAGGGAAGCCAACGGAGGGATTCAGCGAAGGGGGCAGACTAGCTTCAATACCCCAGCATGTTGCTAGGGGTGCTGTGCTGCAGTGGCCTGGGTGACTCAGTAGGGGGCATCATCTCCCCCAAATCACTCCTGACCCTGATGCCCTAGCACAGTGGTAGGGTTTGCTGTGCTGTTCAAGGTATCAGCTTCCAGCTGAGTCATTAATCAATAGACTGACCTATATTGTCAAAAGGTACTAGTGGCTTGGGGTTCCTCAGTTTTTGGGAACCCACCTTGAGACACCTTAAAGGGGCTTGACTTTTGGAAAGTGATGAGCACCTGCCCTCTGAAAACCAGGTCCCTTTAAGGTATCTGAGGTTGAGCACCCAAAAATGAAGGTACCCAGAATCACTAGCTGCTTCTGAGAATATAGGCCCTTCATCTATGCTAGGTTTGATAGATCCATGGGTATTTTCCCCAAAGTCAGGGTGTTAACTCCCATGTCCTGGGCCAATCTCCAGCTTGGGCAGGGGTTCTCAAACTGGGGAGGTTATTACGTGGGGATCAGGAGCTGTTCGCCTCCATCCCAACCCTGCTTCACCTCCAGCATTTATAATACTGTTAAAAATAAAAAAATTTATAAGGGGGGGAATTCCACTCAGAGGCTTGCTGTGTGAAAGGGGGTCACCAGTACAAAAGTTTGAGAACCACTGAGCTTGGGGTAGTTCCATTCTGCTTCCTTTAGTTTTCTTTCCTGATTCAATTCTGAGACTGGATTCTCCTCCACTTCCTGTCCTAAATTTTCATGCAGTATCACTCTTAAGCACCTGCCATGTCCTTCCCCAGAGGCAGCTGCATTTTAGAGCTGGGAGGTGACTCACTCTCTGCAAATCACTTTGGGATGAGGCACAGTGGAGGCTATGGGGAAGGTAGAGTTATTCTTATCTCTCAGCTGTGGCTCCTTGTCCGTCTGAGGCTGGAAACAATTCCCAAACTTCATTTAGATTGTTTCCTCAAAGGGATTTAAGGGTTCTGATGGAGACCTGAGGCTGAGCCATAGCTTCTCTCACTCCCTCTATATTTAGCTTTTCTATCCCTCCTTAACAGTGTGCCTCTATCCTTTTGATCCTCCTACCAGCTCTGTAAACCCCTCATCTTCTGCAACTTCATTCCATGTAGCAGCTTCCTACAACTCTGGCCCCCCAAACCAATTCCAGAGTTTAAAAAGACAGCCAAGGAGAGGGAGAAAGAACTGAATAGGCCAAGGGAGGAAAGGCATGTGTGGGTGAGGCTGGAAATGGGAGGGATAGTGGGTAAGGTGGAGGATCCAAGGAGGCTGCTCCAAATGTGGCAGGAGCTGCAAAGTAGCAGGATGTTCTCAGCCCCACATGGTGGAAAGGGGGGAGAGAGAAGTCCGTGAAGTCAACTTAAGCAAGCTTCTGGAGGGGTGTCACAGCCAAACAGCTGTAGGGAGGCTGGATGCGAGGAAGCTGCAATTGTCCAGGCCAGAGGAGATGGAGCCTGAGATGAGGATTTCAGAAGAGGGGCCTGGATTTCAGGAGCAGAGGCTGGAGGAGATGAGCCAGAGAGAAATGCACTGCAAGATGGTAGGTGCAGCTTGAGGACTACCCAGAGGTGACAGTGAGGAGGTACCGAGAACTAATGGAAGGAGTGTAGCACACGGTCCATGCAAGGTGAGAGGGAAATGATCTGGTTTGATGTGAGTGGAGGCAGCTGAACAGAGCTGGGCACAGTCTCCAGGACATTGCTGATGCACGGGAGGGTGGACGCAGGGTGAAGAACAGAGTCCAGAAAGATTACCTCCGATGCCTGAAAGGTAATTGATTCCTGATTATGGGGGACTCTATTGTTCTTCAGCAGTCTGGCCTGAAGATTTGCAGGGCTGGGGATGGCTGTATGGGATACACCCTGAACTTAAGTATCAGGAGGTAGCCGTGTTAGTCTGTATCCACAAAAACAACAAGGAGTCCGGTGGCACCTTAAAGACTAACAGATTTATTTGGGCATAAGCTTTTGTGGGTAAAAAACCCACTTCTTCATTATAAAAAGTAAAAAGAACAGGATGTTAGTCTCTAAGGTGCCACAAGTACTCCTGTTCTTTTTGCGGATACAGACTAACACGGCTGCTACTCTGAAAACTATAAAAAGTGTGTCTGGTAGTATTGCCAACTCTCATGATTTTATCACATCTCATGATATTTGATGTTTTTCCTAAAGTCCCTGCTCCTGATTCTGTAACTACCTGAGAATCTCAGCTTTCATTTTAAAAAGATACAGCTCTAGCCCTCGCTGCTGGGGAGAAGATCTGGGAAACGGGACCTAAGTGCAACCAGAAGGTCCAGAAACCAGACAGCAAAGAAACAAGGAGGCACATATATTTTTGGTTTAAATCTCATGATCTTGGGGCCTGACTCATGATTTTTGAACTAGTGGGGCTGGGGCTGGGAGGGATCTTTAGGTCCTGTCTCCACTCAGTCAGCTGCTGCAGGAGAACAGGGAACATGTCGCCAACTTTTACTAGAGGAACAATTCTCCAAGCAGGCTGGGAGCTGGGGGGAAGCAGCCAGTCCTCCGTGTGAATTCTGGGGGATTTTAGTGCCTCACCTACCAAACATCAGCTGGTTGTCTCAGCCCCACCACGTGGTGGGTCATGCTTATTAACCCCATTTCATAACTGGGGGATCTGGGGTACAGCCACAGAGGAAGCTGGGATCAGTGTTGAGATTATTCATTTGCTGGCCATACTCCACTTAGTCCACTAGAATATGCTGCCTCTAATGCTACTGAGCTGCCCCTCTGGGTGGCCACAGGTGACCCTGACCACTCAGCCACAGGCAACTAGCAGAGAGGAGCCTTGGCTCACCCCTACAAGCGTCAGGGCCAGCCCAAGGGTCACTGACTCTCACAAATGCAGCCATGGGCCATCCCAAAAATCCAAGGGCTTGTGACCTTGGCTTTCCTGGATTCCAGAGGCTGCCCTGGGGAAGCTTTAGGGAAATCCAGGAACAACTCCCCTGTCGATCCTTGTATTGCATTTGTAAGGCTCTTTGCAAGAAAAAGCAAGAAACCAACTTGTGTGTAATGAAAGCTGAGATTCTGCATTGCATCTCAAGGTGCCCCCGAACAGGGCTTTGAGAACCTTGAAGTGTGGCTCGGGTTGGGGGGACTCAAGGAACAGCCACAGAAACGCTCAAGGGGTGGTGGAGTTGAGTTCTGGGGAGAGAGTCAAAGAGCTAAATCCAGCTGGCTTGGCAAAGCCAGGAATAAAAGAAGAGACTTGAGAATTATCTGCATGTGCCTGAGCAGGAGCAACCACAAGGAAGGGGCTGAGACTGAGCCAAGGGAAAGGAGCTCAGGAGCTATCTCCCCAGTGCTGAGGGGTCCGTGAGCCCAGGGAGCTGTCTCCCCAAGGGCAGGGAAACTGGGATCTAGGGATGGATAGAGCACAGACTGTGGAAAGAAAGGATTCCCTCAAACAGGGCTAAGGCAACCCCTGCCTACCTGGTGGGAATGGCCAAAGTAACCCCTCAGGTGCTGGAAGGAGAAATCCTGCATGTACAGCCCATCGTGTTTCCTCGCCTGGGAAGCTGTGGTCCTGGCGAAGGGTCTGTCACTAACCTCAGGGCTGGCAGGGCCTAAGGAAACTCCAAACCTGGGAGCTGATCTCTGCCGACAAACAGGTGAGATGCAAATCACATGGGGCCCATCCAGGAATCTGACACCATCACCGGGGAAATGTTGAACTAACAAAGAGCAGGTGTGTGGGAGGCAGGATGGGGTCTGCAGACTGGGGGAGGAGCTAGAGTCACTGGGGAAAACTGAACATTTCAAATAGATTTCAGAGAGCTGTGTGGCTGACTCCCTCTCCGCTCCGAGTTAGCACAGGTCCCAGTGTTGTGTGATGCTAGAGATGTTTTTAGAGAAAATATGAAACTAGAGTCCTGATTGCCTGAGATTTGTCACTCTCCCCATGAGTTGCGCAATGAACTGCATTTTCTTGGCCAAACCTCAACTGAGATGAGTCCATTCCTCCTTCCTATAGTCCTCACACAGGTTCAACCAGATACAGCACTCCACTTCCTGTCCCAAAGTGCCCTGTAATGCAGCTGTTAAATGGCTGCCAAGTCCCACCCCAGAGAATGCTGCATCTCAGCAGGTGGGTAAAGTGTTCCATGTGCACATGGAGTGTGTAAAGCCCTTTGGGATGCTGAGCAATGGGAGGTGTGAGGGAAAGGTGAGACCTTCTAACTAGTGGCCTCTGACAGCCCCCCCCCCGCCATTTTGGTCTCTCCAGGACTCAGGCTATCCCAAGTGGAGGACCCATTACTAGCGGATCGAGATGGGTGAAATGGAACAGATGAGGCAGGAGGCCGAGCAGCTGAAGAAGCAGATTGCGGTAACACTGGAGATGGAACCAGTCCATGCGCCCCACTTTCTCCCCCCTCCCATCTGCTCAGGGGAATCCCAGCCCAAGGGAGCTGCTCCACTCCGCCCAAAATAATCCTATCCTGAAGGAGCCCCTCCCTCCACAGCTGGGAATTCCCATCCAGAGAGAGCTCAGCTCTCTCCTGCCTTAATCCCAAGAGCCCCTACTAAGAAGGCAACTACTAAACCTCCCTCCCCTCCCCACCAGTAAGATAGAAATGTGTATGGCATGTGGTAGGGATGGGTGGCAGGTGGTGGGTGGTCTGCAAGGCCAGGGAAGGAGTGTCACATCATAGAATTTGATTCCTTCCTCTCCTCCCCAGGATTTAATCTCCCTGTCCTTTGGGGTGTGCGTGGGGTGCACCCCAGTGGAGGGGCTTAGTGTGGAGAAAAGTAGATATATAGCCTGGGGCATAGGCACCAACTGCATGGATGCTCTGGGGCTGGAGCACCCACGGGGAAAAATTAGCAGGTGCTCAATACCCACCGGCAGCCAAGCTCCCCCTGCCTCTTCCCCACCTCTTCCGCCATGTTCCTGCTCCTCCCCCTCCCTCCCAGCACTTCTGCCCGCTGCCAAACAGCTGTTTGGTGGTGCTCAGGATGCTCTGGGAGGGAGGGGGAGGAGCAGGGACACAGCGCCCTTGGGGGGAAGAGGTGGGGCGGGAACTTGGGGAAGGGGGTGGAATGGGGGAAGGGTGGAGGCAGAGCAGGGGTGGGAAGAGGCAGGGTGGGGGTGGGAACTTGGGGGAAGGGGTGGAGTGGGGGCGGTGCCGGGGGCAGAGGGGCGTTGAGCACTCACCGGCGGGAGCAGAAGTCGGCGCCTATGGCCTGGGGTGGGGGAGGAGGTGGGGGTTGTGCCCCAACTTATTCTTTATGATTATTTGTGTTATTACCATAGTGCCCAGGAGCCCTAGCCACGGCCCAGGAGCCTGTTGCACTGGGTGCTGTACAAACAGAACAAAATGACGGTCCCTGGCCCAAGGAGCTTACAATGGAAGTAAATCTAAAGAGGTTTTCAAATCCTGTACCTGAGTCTCTCTTGCCCTTGCCTCCCATCTCTCATGCTCGCTCTGTCTCTTGCCATTCCCTCTCTCCCTGCAGGATGCACGGAAAGCCTGTGCTGACACTACACTTGCTCAGGTAGGAGATGGTGTTAGCCAACCTCAGCCGGGTGTGGCTGTGCAAATCAGCCACAACCCCCAGGCTGCGCTTCCCAGAACAGCCTGGAGAGGGAATGAGGGATGGAGCCATGTGGCAATGTGGGGGGTTGGAGAGCCCCCTTCCCTGCTGGCTGAGGTTTAACTCTCTCTCTCCTTGGGGGAATCTCCCACCCCCCTAGATTGTGTCCGGGGTGGAGGTAGTTGGACGCATTCAGATGCGTACACGGAGGACCCTGCGTGGGCACCTGGCCAAGATCTATGCAATGCACTGGTGCACGGACTCCAAGTGAGTGAAACACTGGCTGCCCCTGCTTAGGGTGACCAGACAGCAAGTGTGAAAAATCGGGACGGGGGTGGGGAGTAATAGGAGCCTATATAAGAAAAAGATCCCAAAATCGAGACTGTCCCTATAAAATCGGGACATCTGGTCACCCTATCCCTGCTGCTTATTTAGGGAATGTGAGCTGGTGCAGTGACAGGGAGGGGAGGGGGATGCTGGTGGGAGTGGCCCAGTGGGAGAGGTGACACTAACAGGGCCTGCTTCCTCTCTCCTAGACTCCTGGTCAGTGCCTCCCAAGATGGGAAACTGATCGTGTGGGACACTTACACAACCAATAAGGTAAGAGTCGGGAGCACACACCAGTAGCCAGAATCACCTGCTAGGGGAGGCCAGGAGTGGAGTAGCTGGGAGCATAGGCGGCGAGTTATACGGGCCTGTGGTGCCCGTGCTCTACCAATTTTTAGGAATGTGGGCCCGGCTACACCAATGTTTGGGGTCGCTGTACTTTGGGGGCCCCCGTGCTTCAGGGAGCCGGCCCACCCCACTCTACTCCACCCCACCGGCTCCTGACATCACTTGGGGGAGGGGGAGGAAGCCGGAAAGAGGCGGGGCAGGGCTTGGGGGAAGGGGTGGAATGGGGGCAGGGAGGGGGCTGGGTTGCTCTCTGCTGCCAGTGCCAGGCTCCCAGCTAACTCTCCAGGCCGCCCTGGAGCCCACATCTCCCCGAAGCGCAGGGCACCCCATAGCACGGGGCCAAGGACAGTTGCCCCAGTCTGTCCTATGGACGGGACGGCTCTGGGTCCAGGGCGGCCTGGGGGACTAGCGGGGGGGCCAGGCACCGGCAGCAGCGAGTGACCCAGTCCCAACCCTGCCCTGCTCTGCCCCCTCCCCACCCCCATTACACCCCTTCTCCCAAGCCCCCGCCCCGCCTCTTTCTGGCTTCCGCCCCCTCCCCCAAGTGATGCTGGGAGCCAGCGGGGCGGAGCAGAGTGGGGTGGGCTGGGGCCGGGTCGCTCGCTGCTGCTGGCGCCAGGCCCCCCGTTAACCCGCCCAGGCTGCCCTGGACCCCCTGAAGCGCAGGGCCCCCCAAAGTGCGGGGCCCGGGGAAGTTGTCCCGGTCCGTCCTATGGACAGGACGGCTCTGCTTGGAGCCATTCTGTGCACCACCAAAAATTATATAAACCTGGTGCCCATGGCTGGGAGCTCCCCCTCAGCCAAACTTCTGCCATGCTCCCTGCCATACTGTGGTGTTCAGTGATCTGCTTCATTCAATGGTTCAGTTCCAGCTGCCTCTGCATTACATAACATGAGCCTCTTAAAGATACAGTTCCCCACGTCTCCCTTTCCCAGCCAGATTTAAAGATAACAATTTACAATCAATATTTACATAACATACAATTCCCAATACTTACAGTCCATCTACTGACTGAATTTACTAACGATGTGCAATTAATCTCTGAGATGCTTTGCACCACTGCTTGGACTTGCAGGTCTACCTTGAAATATCAGTACTGCTATTGTCAGAAGGCAGAGTCCATTTATTCTGTCAGTGCTAAGTGCTCGGGTTCATCTGTCTTAACCTGCTGTGCTTGTTACTTGTCTGAGACCTCCTTGGGCAAAATGGCAAACTCAGTGCCCCTTATCTCCCTCTCTTGTGGAAGTTGGAGAAGGTGTTGCCTATTCTTCTTCAGTAAGTGTCTGTCTGGGGAGGCAACCTCAGGTGAAACCACTGCTATTTGTAGCTATTGTTTCCCATGATAGATATGCATGGTGTCATTTTCTTGAAGTGTTGGCAGCTCCTAGGTCATAATGATTTTTTTTTTGGTTTGGCCTTTTCTGTCTCTTTATACATCTGCAAGTCCCCAGTTTCTCTGACATCAGCTTCTATCATTACAGGCATTCTGGTTCTGTTTTCTGTGAAATAAATGTCAACAGGTAACAACTTGTGCTTTATTGGTGGCATTCTGTAATTTAATATGGATCAGAATCTGACTCCTCAGCGTTTTTCAGTAGATACTTTATTATTTTGACTCTGTTTCCCACCAACCCATTGGAATGGGGATGATGGGGACTAGCAGTTATGTCTAAATAAATACTTCACTGAAACTGCTTACTCTTATGCCCACTAATCTGTGGCCCATTGTCAGATATCATGAGGTTAGGTACACCATGTGTTTTAAGAATAGATTTGATATACTCAATCTAGTAAAGCTATCTCAGGGAAGTGAGAATAATAGTCCTCTTTGCTACCTCCTGTCTTGATCACTGTGGAAAATACCACCATCCTGCCTGTCACTCAGGCCTGTAACCCAGGTGTCATCTTTGATTTGGAGCTTGTGACGGAGGGTAATTTTTCATAATATTTTGGATAACTATTGTGTGTGCCTCAATTTCCCCTGTGTGGTGCATAGTTAACTAGGGGAAAGGTCCTTTACTCTTTGGAGTGACCCAGAGATACAGGTGAGTGCGACGCTTAGCTGCCTGGGGCTCACGCCCGTGGAGAGTCCCAGAAGACAATGGTCGCTCCAATTGCCTGGACATTTGGCACCTAGCAACAAATGACCATGGATGGCTCATCCTCCTTAGGAAGCCAGCTGGAGAACAAAGGACTGGGGAGTGGGGAGTGGCAGGGCGGCAGGACAGGGGTATTGTATTGTGTGGGCTGCTGGAAGCAGAGGGAAACTTCTAGTCTGGGACTAAAGAGGCGGTCAGAGGGCTCAGAACTGACCCAGGTGGACTTTGCTGTAACTTTCCTATGTTAACTAAGGACTTTCTATACTGCGTTCCAGACAGCTATTAAACCCTTCTGCTTTTACAACACTGGCTGAGAGTCACTGCAGATCAGGAAGTCAAGGATGCATTGCTCCTTTTGGGTGTGCAAGTCTTCCCCAGGTGTCCAATTCAGGTGGACTGACTGAGGGGAGCTCACGGTGAGAAGCAGGGATGCTGAAGGCTCCGAGGTTGGGTCCCTGGAGGCAGTGAAGCTAAGAGGCCTACCCTAGTGACAGTGTGACCCTAAGGGGGCTGACACACAGAAGGGGTCCTCGAAAGGACTGTTCCAGAGCCATTCAAGAGCATCGGACCTGTGGATTCATGACAGGTGGTAGCAGAGGATGGTTGGCGAATGCACCCAGTAGACAGTTGGCTGCTGAAGGCACCAGAAGTGTTGGCAGCGGTAAAACAAGAGAAGTTAAAGAAAACAGGGAGGAAATGGTGTATAACCATCTCCCTAAGAAGAATATTGCAAACCTGTGCAGGGAGAGCGGGCTAAGCGTTGGGAAGCTCAACAAGGCGCAGCTGATTGCACAGCTGGTGAAGGATGACCAGTCTAAGAAGCAGGTTCCAGGCCCAAGTGGGGCTTCAAGAGGGTCTGGGAGCAGCAGAGGCAGCAGCAGCGTGCCCACCAGACCCGGTTCCCCATCCAGCAGGCGGGTCTTCACCACCTGGTTTCCCATCGGTAGATTTGAAGTAGTTGGAGCTGAGAGCAAAAGAGCTGCAGCTGGAGCAACAGAAGCTAGAGGACCGGGAGAAGCAGCAGAAGCATGAGGAAGAACAGCGCCACTGCCCAAATTACAGCCCTCCATGAAAGGGGGCTGGGAGAGGACTCAGACTTGGGTTGACCCTGGGATGGGAGATGGGCTCCTTGTATTTACACAGCGCTGAGGTTGGGACAGAACTCCAGAGGGGGCCTGCCAATGTGCAGAAGCATCCTGCATCCCTCACCAGACGCTGGGACACCAGAGCCACAGAGTTGTGACTGGGTTAATAACCAATGTAAACAGGTTCCAATCAAGGGTAAGGACACCCCAGGCTGCGGCCAAGACAGCTGACACACAGAGGAATGTGGGATCACTGTGCTCCTCACTCCCTGGCAGATGAGGGGGGGAGGCAGTGGCAGGATCCCAGCCCAGTTTCAAACCCAAAGGTTTTGGGGTGGCAAAAGGGCTGAGGGCCACATGACAGCTCCTCATGGGCACCCTATGAGTGCCATCAAACAGACCAGTCCTAAGGGAGGATGTGAAACTGCTCTGAGCTGGGTGTTGGAAGCAGTAAGTGCTATGGATTAGTAGGGTGCTAAAAGGATCACGGATGTGCCTGACAGGGCCGGCTTTAGGCCAATTCAGCCGATTAGGCTGAATTGGGCCCCGCGCCTAAGAGGGCCCCGCAGCTCTCCACCCCGCCCCCAGCTCACTTCCCCCTCCTCCCCTCCCCTGAACGCTCCGCCCCCTGTTCCTCCCCCTCCCCTGCTTCCCGCGAATCAGATGTTTGCGGGAAGCCTGAAAAGAAGCAGGGGCAGGCGGTGGCAGCAGCAGGTAAGCTGGGGAGGGGGGGCGCGAGGAGGGCTCCGGGGAGGGGAGGCGCGGCCTAGTCCAGCCCTGGCCGAGCACCTCCAGCCCCGGCCCCAGCGGCTCTGGCTCCGGCCCGGCTCGGGCCCCGGGGCAGTGGCCCCAGTTCCGGCCGAGCACCCCCAGCAGGGCCCCACGGCTCCGGCCCCGGCCGAGCACCCCCGGCCCCGGCTC